AGGGTCCAAAGGACTTGAGCTTCCAGACCAGCTGGGCCTGGTCTCCACGGCTGGGCGGCACTAGGACCTCCCCTGCTTCTCTAGGCTGCTGATTCCTAACCTGGAAAGGGAAGGCCTGGGGCCTCTGGGCGGGGACAGGCCAGCAAACATCCCTTCCTGATGTGCTTGTGGAAGAGCCGTGCCAGTGGGGGCAGGGCATTGGGCTGGTGGCTTTTGGCAGACCACCTGCTGTGTCCACTCACCCCATCTACAGTGGGGGAAGTTCTGGGCCCCATACCCACCAGGAGGTGCCCATTGGGAGGAGCTGTTCGGTGCGGCTACCTCCTTTCCTGCTTCCTCCTCCTCCCCATGGTCACATTTTTCCTCTGTTGCCCCAGGCATCTGTGCATCCTTCCTGACTAGCTGGTCCTGGGCACTCAAGTCCTCTTGTCACTCAGGACAAGGTTCTCTGTGTGTGTGCCTCCTGATGCACTGGCCTGCAAGTCTCACCCCAGGAAGCTTCTGGAAGGGCACAGAGTGGAGACCTGTCCATGCCACAAAGTGGCTGGGACTGAGGGTTGGACAGGAGCCTGAGTGGCCATCCCCAGGAGGACCTTCCACAAGCTGCCCCAGTCCCACTCACCAGCCATCACAAAGAGCCACCGCTGGCCACACTGACCTTGAATCTGATAGCCACGATGGAAAATGGGGGAAGGCAGCTGTGGCCAGGCCCTGACCATCATTCCGTCACACATTCCTGCTGAATGCCAGCTGAGGCCTGCAGCCACCCACCCCAGCGTGGAGGTCAGCCTCAGCCTGGGGGCAGCAAGCCCAGGGCTGCTCTTCCCCACCTCGCCTCTACCTTCTCCCCACCAAGGCTCTGCTTTCCCTGCTCTCCAAGGCCACCGAGGGCTTTTGCCAGGCACACTGCATTCCCCAGACCCCCAGGAAAGCAAGGGCACTGTGGCTGCCCCTCCCTCGTCAGCCCTCACACGACCGCCGTCCTCACTGGAGCGGGTGCAGCGGCCTCTCCTTGGACTCAGCAGACCGCCCCTCAGCTCAGTCGCCAGCAGGTGTGTGCTCTCCGGGGAGCCCTCCCACCCCACCCGACCCGGGGGCCTCTGAACTCCCAGGGTGCCCACCACCCCCATGTCCAGACCGAATGCCCACCTGTCTGCTCCTTAGGACACAAACTCAAGAGACAGGATCTGCTCGTAGGAGCCAGCAGGGACCCAAGGAACACAGTGAACAAGTGAGCCAGGGGACACGGCTGCTGGGCCCTCCTTCCTGCTGGACTAAGGTCTCCAGCCTGCCTGGCGCCATCAGGCCCTCCTCATGGTGGCGAGCACAAGGCGATGGTGGCCCTCAGGTCTGCTCCGGGTCCTGCTGGTGTGCCACAGGGGAGGTTTGTCTCCCACCCACACCTCCAAGCAGCAGCCCCAGGCAGCTGCAGAGCCCCAGGCTAGCACCCAACAGTGAGGCCTGGAGAGCGCTCAGGAAGGGCAGACAGGCAGAGCGGCCAGCCTTCCTGGGACAGGGGGTCAGGGCTACCTAGGGCAGCCTGCCAGTGAGGGCCACAGTGCCCTGGCCTCCCTGGAAGCACAGCCACGCTATGCCCACACCCCGCTGGCCAGCTCCTAACCACCACCTTGTAGGCCAGGCGGATGAGGAAGCCGAGGGGTCAGGTGGTGGGGAGTCCAAGTGAGAGAAGATGGCGCTGACCACTGCGGGAGCCACACAGACCGTGGCTCTGCCCCTCCTCCCCTCCCAGTGCCCACACGTAAGCAGTGGCCTGACTCAAAGAAGACCATGGCTTTCCCTTCCAGGCACAGGCAGGGCCTGGCTTCCCAGACAGATGGGTGAGGGGCAAAGGGACCAAGGCTGGGTCAGCCAGCGCTCCTACCCTCAGACCCACTTCCTTGGTATGGCAGCCCAGCCCGGGGCTCCCCGGCCCCTCCACACGTGCTGCTGCAGTACTGTCTGCAGGTCACCACAGCAGACGGCCACCAGGTGGAGGCCCACGTTCTGACCAGCCTACATCACCTGAGCTAGCCCGGGAGCACGAGCCCAGGCTGCCTGGACGTGCATCTGCCCCTGGAGCCCCTGAGCTCCTTCCCATGTGGGCTGCACACTCAAGAAAGGAGCTCCAGCCTCTACAGGGTCAGAGGCTGCAGGGATGCGGCTCAGGGCCCACTCCAGGATCACCCTGGTGTGGACGGTGTTCAGCCTTGAGAGAAGGACCAGGGCCTGCAAGTGTCCTTGGGGAAGCAGACTTTGGAGGGGGCAGGGGAAAGCCCCTCAGGAAAGAGTGAAGAGGAAAGCCAGAACCGCGGCGGCTGCCTTGGGCGGCCTCCCATCTGGCCATGGCCCCCCTCAGGGACCTGTCCTGCAGTGCTGCTGAGAGGACAGGGCTGTGAACGTGGGACTCTGTGGTGACTGGGTTCCAATAGGCCATTCAGAGAGCACGGGGCTGGCTGGGGACCAGTGGCTTTGAGAAGGCAGGGCCTGGGCCCAGAGGTGTCACCGCTGTGGAGACAGTTGAATCCTGGGTCCTGTCGCGGCCAAGAAGTAGCACCACGTGGCAGAAGGCACGTCCCGTTGTCCTGACTCCACTGGGCAAACTCAGGCCACACAGGGGCAGTGGCAGTCAACAGCCAGGCCTCCCACTCCCTGGGAGCTGGGTCTGAGGCCAGGAGGGTGACCCGGGCCAGGCTCCATTTCCTCCTCTACCAGTGGGTAAAGAAGAGGCAGCACCCAGTGCGGCAGGCCCGAGGCCAGCAGAGGCAGGCACTCGCCTGAGACACGGGAAGTCCTTGTGGGAGGGGCAGCGGTCGGAAGGCCTGCCTCGGGAATCAGGCAGTGGACACCCACTGCAAAGGGCCCACCTGTAGCCCAGGAGGCCGAGGGCCATTGAGCCGCTGCAGCGTGTGCCTCCAGCCCCATGGGGCCTGCAGAGGGAGCGGCGACTCCCAGCCTTCCAGCAGGGGCGGCTGCTCTATGAGAGAAGGCGGCCTCATCCCTGGAGCCCTACCTTTGAGAAGCCCCACCTTTGAGAAGCCCCTAGGCCTCAGGCAGACCCTGAGCCCCCAGTCTCTACTTTGCTCCACCCTCCCACCCCAGTCAAGGCCAGGCTGCAGGGCAACAGCTCTCTAGGACACAGCCAGCACAGGGAGGGAAGGGGCAACAAGGGTTGCAGCACACCTCTTCCTCTTCTGGGCAGGCTGCAGCTGCCCCAAACTCAAGGTGTCCTGTCACATCAGAGGGCAGCCAGAGAAGGAAGTAGGAAGGAAGCCAGAGGCGCCCCTGGGCAAGTGGAGCAGAGAAACTGTGGAAACCAAGCGCTCTGCAGCTCACTTCCCCAGGCCCCCAGGCCCGGCCCTGCCTAAGCCCCAGGCTGTATGGGGCATGACCAGGTGGCTCTGACAGCTCACAAGCCTGGGCCACAACCTTCCCTTGCCTTGAAGCTCCAGGTCCACAGGAGGAGCCCAGCAGTCAGGGCACCCTCCTGTCTCCTGGCACAGAGTGCTGCAGGTGGGAGTTGCCCTGCCTCAGACAGCCTCTGAAAAGCCCAAGGGCTGTGCAGATCTCTAGGGGCTAAAGAAGATGGCACTGGTCACCAACTACCCCCCAAGACAAATGCAGACAGCCGGAGGCGCCCCTGGGCAAGTGCCCCTGTCAGCAGCTCGAAGCACAGAAACTGGAAACCCGTGTGCTCTGCAGCTCACTTCCCCAGGCCCCCAGGCCTGGCCCTGCCTAAGCCCCAGAGGCTACCCTTGGACAGGCCTGCTGAAGAGAGGACGAGTCCTGCTTCCCCAGGCTGGCACTGATTTGGGGCACTCCCACCCCATTGCCGACCCTGCAGCTACTTCCCTGCTTCTGGCCTCAGTGCCTATCAGGGCAAGTCTGCTCCTCCCACACAGTCATTCAACAAACATCAGAGGCATGCAGGCCTTCTCACAAGAGAAGCTTCAGTTGGGTTCTCCTAATGGAGGTAAACCTAGGGCTACAAGGCCATAGGGGCTGCGGCTGATCTATCAGGGATGAAGGAAGCTGGGCTGGGCCTCACCCAGGGCAGGGAATGCAGGGTATACTCCAGAGTTCCTGCTGCCCTCCAGGTTGGGGACTTGCAGAAAGTACCTGAACACCCAGGCCCCACCGTGCCCACCCTTTCCTGAAGCACCCAAGCCTGCCTCAGGACACAGCTGCAGGCCTCTGCCTTAAAGGAGAGGGCACGAGGCCTCCCTGGGGATGGTAATAGTCCCACACCCCTGGCCTACCCAGGCCTATCAGGACCTGTACCTCCTGAGGCCCAGCACAAGGCCTATCCTGGACCTACACATCTCCCACCCAGCCCAGGCCTGGCCTTGTCCACATGTCCCAGCAACAGGCACCACAGAAGAGAAGGAGCAGAGCAGGTACGGGGCTCCGAGTCCCCCCAGGACCACCAGCTGGTCTGTCTGAGGTGGAGTCCTGCTGTCTGCTCCCCCCCTGAGAAGGCTCATCTTACTCCTGGGGCTTCACCCCCACGTCCTTCCAGAGCTTCCCAGGAGGAGAGTCCAGCAGGCCTGGCTGTGAGGCAGGGTGGTGAGGAGGAGGGGCAGCAGAGGAGGCAGAGTGGTGACAGCACCCGAGCCCGCATCATGGGAGGGCTCAGAGGCAGTGTGGGCTGCAGGACAGGCCCAGCCAAGAACAGAGACTTCTGGAAAAGGTGGTTCCTGGAGCAGCCCCGCAGAAGAAGTGTTCTGGGAGGTCAAGAGCACCAGAGTGATTCTGAAGGGCCTGCTGAGGAGGGCACGCAGTCCTGCTCCCCCAGGCCCGGAACAAGGCAGGCTGAGGCGGGAAGGCACTGGGCCTGGGCTCCTCCTGGCTCTGGCCCTATTCTCCAGCAGCATTCACCAATACAGAGGCCACCTCTTACACCAAAAGGCACAGCAAAGGTTAGTGGCTGGACGTGGCTCCGGCCAGGCAGCCTCCACCTGCTGGTGGCTTGCCATCTGATGGCATCAACCCTGGGCACTCCAAGCCTGTGGCCACCCAAGCTTGCTGCCTTGCTTGGTTCCTCTGGTATTAAAACTTGGTGGCCTAAGGACAGTCACTGCCTTGACCTTTGTCATGAGCACTCATGAGAAGACAGAGTGGACAATGGCCTGGGGCAAAAGAGGCCTCCCAGCCACACCACACCAGACGCAGCAGACATGGCAGAGAGAAGCGGGGCCTTGGAAATTGCCTGGGCTTTGGGCCTGGGCTGCTCAGCCAGGCCCCTGGACCTCAGTCTCTGCACCCCCCTTAGATATACAGGGTAGGGCTATTAGGCCCCGTCAACCATGCCTTCACCATCCGGGGACTTGTCTCTCTAGAGTGACGGGGAAACGGGGCCCCATTGTCCTCTCTAGATGCCAGGGAAGGGACGGAGGCACTCAGCTCCCTGCTGTGGCCATGGCTCAAGGTGGCAGCTGCCGTGGAGCCCTGAGCTCAGTAGCAGGTCTAAGCTCCCCAAGCTGCTGTCGCCAGTGGTGGTGGCAAAGGCACTGACCCCCAGGCCACATGAGACCCAGGGGCTTTGAGTGATTTCAGTTTTTGAGATAGATTTGAGGGTCCCCTTGCTGTACTGTGCCAAGGCTGGGGAAAGTCCCAGTGGACCGTGAGCTCAGGGCCAGCATGAACCTGCCCCCTCCTCCCAAAATGGGCAGGCCTCTGCCTGGGCCTGGGCCTTGGGTTTCCTACCCAGGAGCCGAGGGGCCGGGAGGGGGATGAGCCGTCTCCTCAGGCCCCCAGCACTCCCCTGGAGTCTCGTTCTTTGGGGGCTGTGCACGGGAAGCCAGCCAGCTCACTGCCCAGGCCAGGCCAGGCCAGGCCAGGCCAGGCCAGGCCAGGCCAGGGTGTGGGCCGTGGGGAGGGGCCCACTTACTTGTTGCCTGGCTCTTGCCCTGGGAGGCTGGGGTCGAGAAGGTCTCAGCCACCATGCGTTCCACAGGTGTGAGGACGAATCCAGGAGCCGGACTCTCTGCCAGTTTCTTGCGCACGGCCCCTCGTAGGTCCCTCCATTTGTGCTTGAGGTCACCCAGGTCACGGCGGCAGTAGCCCAGCGCATTCACAGCCTGTAGGATCCTGCTCCACACGTGGTGCTTCCGAGCAGGTGTGCTCCGCAGTGCCCCGAACAGCAGTGGGTAGTGGCGTGCCACCCTCCGCACCAGCACCTCTGTCTCCTGGGGACTGAAGTTGGGTTTGCGTGTCTTGGTGCGGGAGTGGCTGCTGGGCCGCAGAGGTGTGGTGCCCAGCCCCACCCCTGGTAGCAGGGCTGCCTCTGCTGGCTCGGGGCTGGAGGTCTGCCGGCTGGTGGCCTTCCTGCTGCTGGACCCTGGAAAGGCACCAGAGGCTGAGCACTAGGCAGAGACTGTGGACAGCGTGCCACCAGGCCTGTGGTCCTGGTCCTCACAGGTCCCCACATCAGTGTCCTACATACAGGTGACCCACACCCACCAGTTGGGGATCTGGCGACTCTTGAAGCTCCTGCCTGCCAGCTATCTAGGGGACTCCCCTGCCCATGTGCAGGTCAGCCCTGGCTTGTTCCGCTCCCCACAGCTCTCCCATGGGTCCATTACGGGGACTGGGTGGCCTTAGGGTGGACAAGCCGTTGTGCACACTCTGACATTACAGCCCAGCCAGCCAGCCCCAGGGGGCAGTGGGCGGTGGCCACTTTAGAGGCAGACAGAAGGCAAGGAGATAGGAAGATGGATGGGGTGGGTCCTGGGAGCAGTGACGAGGCAGCTCAGTAAGTGCCATGCCCAGAGCAGGCCCTGCTGGAAGCCTAGGCTCTGAAGGGGTGCAGGGTGAGTCCAGGAGCAACAGGGAGGGCAGCTGCCAGGCATGGGCTCCTGACTCAGGCCTCCACCGACCTGGGAGCAGCAGAGCTCCAGAAGGGTGCCAGGGCCCACCCAGCTCAGGGCACTTGCTCCTCGTTAGAGGCACAGGCCTGGGTGAGGGGACGGCTGTCAGGGATGGAAGAAGCAGATGAGTAAGTGCAGGGGTCTGGGTCCTGGAGGGCAACTAAGCCGAGGGGACCATTGCCCTGGCCAGGGCGTCTCCACCTTGCAGCTGGGGCCAGAACTCTGGGTGGCAGAAGCTACGGAGCAGGCTGGCACCCCAGGGGCAACAGGATGGCCCACATGTGAGCAAGCCCCTAAAGTCCCCACCTGTGCACCCCAGCCCCAAAGCAGGTGGGCATAGGGCCTCTACCACACTGGGTAATGACACCAGTGTCCCTGTGCCCCCAGGGCTCTGCACAAGCAAGGAGGCCACCCATGGAGCCAGAACCTCGCTCAGTCCAGAAGGAAAGTGATCAGAGTGACCACTTGATGTTCAAAATGCCCTAGACCTAACTAGGCAGGCACAGAGCCCAGCGGAGAGGAAGGTCTGCACACTTAAAATTGTCCAGTGTCCAGGTGCAGTGGTGCACACCTGTAATCCAAGCGGCTCATGAGGCTGAAGCAGGAAGATGGCAAGTTCAAAGCCAGCCTCAGCAACGGCGAGGCACTAAGCAACTCAGTGAGACTCTGTCTCTAAATAAAATACAAAATGGGGCTGGGGATGTGGCTCAGTAGTTGAGGGCCCTAAGTTCATCTGTGGCAACCCCCCCCCCCAAAAAAAATTGTCCAAATATAAATGGCCAGTTGCTGGGGCCAGAACTTGTGGAGCACAGAGGAAGATAGGGAGGTCCTCTCTGGGGAGGTCAGAGGTGACCCCACAGCAAGGCAGAGCAGAAGGGCTGGGACAGCAGAGGGCCTGGGCGGACGCCACCAGGCCTCTCTGGTCTGTGCCCCTTCTATTGGAGAAGGCCCCTCTCTCACAGTGGGTGAGGTCACTGTGACGTGACCCTCAAGCCTCCCTGCTCCACACTACCCCAGCAACCCTCACCAGCAAGGGACAGGCCTGGGCCTCAGCCTTGGCCTTGCTTCTTATTTCCTCCTGAGAAGCAGGGCAGCTCCAGGGACAAGGGCCTCTGAGGTGATGTAAGAGGTGTCCCCATTGGCAGAGCTGGCCCAGTTCCTTTGGGGTGAGGGGTTTGGGGGATACCATGCCCTGGCCAGGCCCGCAGGCCCAGCCACTGCCCCTGTTCCACCCGGCTCAGGCACACCCATTTCCCAGAGGCACACATGGCTCCTGACAGTCACTGGAGACAGCACCAGACCCTAAGGGGCTCTAGGCCCCCACCCTCCGTATCCTCAGGGCCATGCTGCAGTCACCTGTCCCAGGGAGTCCCTGGTCAGTGCAAGGCCCAGGGTAGAGGTGGACCAGGAGGAAAGCCAGGCAGAAGCCATTCTGGGCCTCCGTCACCTCCAGGCAGCTGTGCCCACACCTGGGGGAAGAGGCAGCTGGGGCGACGTGGCCTGAGGGTAGAGTGGGTACCCACCAGTGGCATCTCCTTGCTCCGACGCCATGGACGCCAAGTCCTTGATGATCTGGTTCACGTCCAGCAAATTGCTCTAAGGAAACAAGATGGAGCTGCGTTAGGGGCAGCGTGCTACAGGCCCAGAGACTAAGGACACCGTATATGGAGAGCCCTGGGCCAGATGGGAACTAGTGGTCAGTTGGTCTGTACTCTTCCTGTCAGAGGAGCAATCTGGGCCCAGAATGGGCAGGGTCAGGCCCAGAAAAGGTGAGTTCAGGCCAAAGCTGCCCCAGGTCAGAGGTGGGGCAGAGCCTGAATGCTCCGCTATCTTGCTCTCAGGCCAAGCCCCAAGCTCTCCAAGCACCCCGGTGCCACGAGCTTCTCAATGCATGCACGAGCACCGGGGTCTGCCTGGGCACGTGTGGCCCAGTGCAGGACATCATGTCCCCAACACTGGTGGAAGCCTGATAGGAGCAGGCCAGAAAGTGTCCGGCACAGAGCACTTTGGCCACACCACCCACAGAGCTGCACTCCTATGGATACCCCATCCCCACTCACCTGGGACAGAGCACACCTGCCCCTCTGTGTATCAAGAAGGGGCCAACACACAGGTGCTGCTCAGCAAATTGGCAGAGTGGGATAGATGAACAGGGTGGGTGGGCAGGTGGGCAGTTGGTGGATGAAAGTCGAGTAGGCCATGGGCGGCAGCCCCACTGACATCCAAGCACTGAGGCTCTGGGAAGCTGGAGAACCGGGCAAGGGAGCGGACACCAGGGCCAGAGGACTTGGTCCCTCCATGTTGCATGTTACGTTGGTCCTTTGCCTCCTTTACACTGCCCAGCTTTACCCTGACTTCTGCCCAGCAAAGTGGCCATGAGGGTTGTAAGGGACATGGCCATACCTCCATGACCTTTTACATCAGGCTGTGTCAAGAGAAGGGTGCACACTGCCACCTTTGAGCTGGCAGCAACCAAAAGGGAAGTCCTAGCCCCAATGAACAGGAAGGGAGGGGGGACTCAAGAGGCCCCAGGATCACCCTGGCCTTTCTGGGTAGGAATTCTGTCCCCTGTGCCCACTCCCGGACACCCCACCATTCCTGAATGACATTCACACAGGGACAGTTTCTCCTCTAGCCAGTGCTGAGACCCTGGGAGACCAGTCTCCTCCGAGCCAGGCCAGCTCACAGAGCCTATCAGGCACAGCCCTGCTAAGCCTCACACAGTGCCTGGCATGAGGCTGGGTTTACTCTCAGGCCGGGAAAGCTCCTCATGCCTGCTGAGGCTGCAGGAGGGGTGCCACAGCCCCGCCCCAGCACGCCCACTCACTCTGCAGCTCATTCTAGAGCCAGGATTGATTTCCACAAGGGTCATTTCACCCCACTGAAAATATTACAGGGAAATTCATTTTCTTTTTAGGAGTGTTCTGGGAAATGAAGCAATTAGCATGATCTTAAACCGACATGTACTATCAATTGCAATTCAATTACTGGGCTTAAATATGGAGCAGGGTGTGTGGCTGCTCTGTGGGAATGGCCACGGCCCGGAGGGTGCTGAGGAGCACGGGGCTGGGCTCTCGGCTCAGCTAGTGTCTGTGGCACCCAGAGGGTCCAGCAGCCGTCAGGAGGATGGTGCTGGCTAGCCCCAGACCCAGCCAGTGTCTAGGCTTCTCCTTACAACCACATGCTCTGGAAATGGGGTTCCTGGCTGTGAGTGCAGCCTAGGATGGAGATGTCAATGTCAAGCTGAGGGCTCCTGTTCAGCCGGGCCGCAGACTGATCCCACCTCCGCAGACTTCCAGGTTACTGACACAGCTCTTTCAAAGAGCAGGCGCTGACCCTGCCAAGCACCAAGCCTGGCTCTGGTCACTGCCCATGCCAAGGCCCGCGCCCCAAGCCCGGCCTTGGCTACATTGGGTGGCAGACACCTAAGGCCTTCCTATGGGCTCCACAGGCTGCAAGTCATGCATCTCCCCAGCAGGCAGTTCACTCACTAATATCTACTCCACAGACAGGGCAGAGGAGCAAGCTGTCGCACAGAGGGCACCTTACATAGGACACACAGCTAGGAAAGGCTAGAGCCAGCACCCAAACCCACGGCCAACCCAAGCCCAGTCACTACCTACACATCAGTCACACCACAGGGAGGTGGCGGTGCCCAGGACTTCCCACGGTGCAGGGGCCAGAATGGACAGGCTTAACATGTGCACGCACGAGCGGTTGTTTCCACGAGCAGGAGCAGCAGAGGGTGCTGGGGTGTCCTGCAGGAGGTATGGCTCAGAGCCCCTGCCCAGCCTATAGACCCCAGCCTTGGTGAGAGGACATGGAGAAAATCAGGGGGCAGGGAGGAGAATCAACGGCAGGACCACAGGCCTAGGGACCCCGTGGCCCAGGAGTCCCAGGCTGCTGGCAGGTGAAGCAGAGCAGCTGTCCTTCCCACAGCACAGCCTGTTTCTCCTCACAGCTCCACAGGGTCACTGCACTAGCTGTTCTCTGCCTGGGAGCATCAACTCCTACAGCGGGGGGGACGAGCTTGGGTTTCCCCAGGTCCCACCCCTGACGCACCAACAGGGCACAACGGCTTTCGTTCTGGGTCTTGGAGAGCTCACTGGAGGTGGGGTGGCTGAGGCTGCTGTCCAGTTTACAGTGGGTGTGCTGTGGCTGCTGCAGGCCTTGCACAGCCTGGGGTGCCCTCAGCTGTGGCTAATGCTGGCTGCATGTTGGCTGCCACTGCCTGGCCATCTCTGTCCATCATGGGCTGTGGGTGCCCCAGCCAGGTCCCCACGGGCCCAACTAACCACACCCGCAACACTTGTCAGGGCCCCAGCAAGCTCTGTCACAGAGGACAGAGAACAGGCACAGCAAAGGACTCAGTCTATTCCTGCTGAACTCAGCAGAAAAGGACATGGGAACAGTGACAACTGTCCACTGGCATGAGCTTGGACACATGGGAAGTTAATTTGTTCCACAGTAGTGCGGGGACACACACAGACACCCAGGGCTGGTGCGGGGGACACACACAGACTGCAAGAAGGCAGTGGCTTCCAGGAGAGTGACTAAGACTGCCCCCAGCAAGGGCTCTGACCCCTGCCGTCAGGGCCACACCAGATGTTCTACTGGCCGGCCTGGAGTCCCACGCGAGCTTTCACAGGAAGAGCCCCTTCCTCCCGGGCTCCCTTCTCCTCACCATGCTGCTCAGCAGGCAGGGCGGAGGCGGTGCAGGAGCAAGGCCAGTCCCACGTCCCCGCCCTTTCTATGGGACACAGAAAGCCTGCTACACTGCTCAGACTCCCTGATCACTGCACACCAACCATCTTGGGGCTCCCTGATCACTGCACACCAACCATCTTGGACAAAAGGCTGCCTTGGAAACGCCCTGCCCTGGGGCCAGCAGAGCAGCCAGGGCACCGCATGGTGAGCCTGAGGCCACAGACCCCTCCTTGTCCCTTGTCCCCACAACCCAGGCCACCTCCAGGAGGCCAGGACAGCAGCGTGGCTGTGGGGATCTCCTGGTGCTGTCAGAGCACAGGTGGACCCAGCCACACGAGCTCGCGGAGGAGCCCCGTCTCGCCTCCAGGACGATCAGGAATGGGCACCTGTGCCCTGAAGACAGCCCCTGTGGCCCTGGGTGCCCCGAGGCCCCAGGCCCTCTGCAGGAGCTCCCTCAGGAAGGTGAGCATTTGCTTTCATCCCCTTCTCCAGGAATAAGGCATGGCTTCCCAGCTATGCCTCCCCCTCCAGCACCCAATGCCATGTGCGAGACAGAGGGATGAGGGGCCCCAAATGGACCTGCAGTGATAGCAGAACCAGGCAGGTGGGACCTAGACCGTGCGTCTATAGTGGGCCCATGGTGCCAGGGCGATCTGAGGTGGGCAGCTGGCCCAGAAGGGATCCCTCTGGTTGCCATCACCACATGGGCGCTGGGCACTGGGCAGATCCCAGTGAGGCCCAACCCCCACATACACCTGGAGACAGGGTGGGAGCCATTCCCAGGCAGAAGTCTGCCTTGTGGTCTGGAGTGACACAGGTCAATCCTGGGCCTAAGGACAAGGGACCTGCAAGCCCTAACACTCTCCCACCTGGATCAGGGGCTGCCCAGGAGGGAGCCCTCTGGGGCATCAAGCAGGCCCAGAGCAGCATTAGAGGCCAGGCACTGTAGCTGCACAGGTGGGCACGGGCAGCCGGAGGCAGGAGGCCGTGGGAAACTGGCCGACACCAGCACTTGGTAAAGGCTGGAATTGTGCAGTCGTTTTCTGATTCCTCTACACCCAGAACTCCTGAGTGCTCCCACAGAATCTCCCCTCACTGCTACCACAGAGCCACCTCACACGGACATAATAAAACCTCGGCGTGTGTGTGTGCTCATGCACACACGTGTGGTATGTTTCCTCTGCTTTTATGGACAAGAAAACACCACTGCACTTGTCTCAATCACACACTCTCTCCTGGCACCATCTACCTACAATTGCAATTAACGGAATAGCCAAATTCTGTTTACTTATTTTATTCACCTACCCATAGCTGACAGTAGCCACACCAATCACACCCCTGCCACCAGCTGTGTGCGCCCAGTGCAGGGAGGGCGGCTGGGGCTCTAGGCAGCCTCCTCATCTGGCCCTCCGCCCTCCTGGGCCTGCCAGGTAGCCATACATGCAGCTGGTATGCTCAGCGCCTGCACCTGAGCTGGGTGACAGGACAACTAGGACGCTCCAGCAGGTGAGATGGGCAAGGTGAGGGGACGCAGCACATGCAGCATCTGGCCAGTAGGCAGAGTAGGCTGGGCAGAGGCCAGGGAGCTGGACAGTGCCACAGGGCTGTAACAGATGGGCAGTGGCCCAGGGCCACGTGTCCATCTCTTCAACCTCATGGCCCAGGGACAAGTCAGAGTCTGCTATCCTGCAGACTGGTGCAGCACCTGTGGCCAGGGGTCAAGTCACATCATAGGGGTGGCTGGCCTCGTGGGCTGGCTCTTTCCTCCTCTGAAATGGGGCTAACCACGAGGCAGCTGTGAGAGCATTGCAGCGGCACAGCCCTGTTCTGAAGCCAGGCCAACTGGCCGCGAGTCCCGTGAGCTCGTCCACACATGAGCTGTGACCCCTGAGCCTCTGCTCCTCCTTTGCTAACCTCAGCCCCTGCACACCCACCCCCAGGGGTCTTGTGTGGGCCCAAGTTGTGCCCACAGCAGCAGCAGCACCCACTCCCAGAGTTCCCACAGACCCTCTCACCTACCTACCTGGCCCTCAGACCTCCACCCACCTGCATGTTTCCTCACAAATGGTCACTGGGCACCCCTGGTGTTAGGATCCTCTGCCATGCCAGGAAAACAATAACCAGAAAGAGCCAACTGCAGACTCCATGGGGCTTATGCTCCAACAAAAGGCAGTAAATAGCACCCAGGCAATCAAAGAGCGTCCCACAGAACTCCAGAGGGTGGGCTTCGAAGGCGGGCAGCACTCTAGTCTGAGCCCACCGGTGAAGGGAGCTGCTCCAGTGTACGGAGCAAGGCTTCAGGCCAAGGGTCAAGTGCAAAGGGTGGAAGCAGGTCCAGCAGGTCCCGGGGCCAGGAGGAGGCCAGGCTGCTGGGGGACAAGCACAGAGGGCTGCATCTCCTAGAGACAGCGATACGAACCACCCACTCACTCGTCCTGCAAAGTGACACCGGCATGGCTTGACAACTGGGGGTGATGGTCCATCTCCTGGTCTGGACAGACAGAACCTGGCAGAGATGCTGCACAATCTGCAAGGCCAGAAAACAAAACAGGGCTGGCTCCTGGTCAAGATGTGATCCCGAAACACGACACTAGAGGAGACTGGAATAGAGTCCTGCCAAGACCCCAGGTCAACCTCCACCAACAGGCAGCAGGGCCAGGATGCTGGAGGGGCTAGAACCAGTTGCCATGGGCTCAAGCCTTACCCCAAGGCTTCAAGGTGCAGAGAAGCTGTGGCTTGGCCCTGCTGCAATCCTGACTCACTGAGCCTACAAGCACAGTAACCAGATTTCATCCCTAAACTTCGAGGCAAGCAATTTTGACCACTGTAACCAGCTCAGGGACCAGATTATTCTAAGGTCCTTGGGGGGCTTAAACCATGGCCTTGGATCCCTGGATGCTTCTGTCACTGGTGGTGGGACCCAGGTCCCTCTCCTTGAACCAGGCAGGTTTTGATCACTTAACTACAAAGCACCAAGGGAAGTGACACTGTGTACCTTCCATGACTGCAACACACACAAGAAGAACTGAAGAGCCACACGAGAAATCCGAGCACGTGGGGCGGCCATGTTGTGGGAAAGCCCAAGCTGTGCAAAGTGGCCAGATGGAGACAATCCAATGAACAGTGCAGCTGAGCCTGGCCTGAGACATCCCAGCCCACGTTATCAGAGGCAGAGTGGAAGAGTCTTCAACCTCCAGCTGTCCAAGTCACCCTTGGCCACTCAAGTCTCCCCACTGGAGGCTCTAGACAGCAGAGTAGATACTACCCAGCCTCACTGAGCTGTGTCTACATCCTGATGTTGAACTCCATGGTGGCTTTTTCATGCCACTGAGTTTTAGCACAACTCCGTTCCATGGGGCTCCTCAGCAGGTGGGAGGCTGGACTAAAGGGCAAGGAATGCGCATGTTGGCTGAGTCCTGGCACTGGGTTTCCTTTGCAGTGACAGCCACCCTATCACATCTTGGCCAAACAAGGAAAGGTCATTCAGGGCCCACCATTCTCTGGCCACCCACCCAGAAAGGTCATTCAGGGCCCACCATTCTCTGGCCGCCCACCCAGAGAAGCCACAGGAGGGGACAGGAGGGAGGACTGAATGACTCCAGGGACCAGACAGGACTGAGAGCTACACGGGTTCTCAGAGAACTGAGGGGATGGCCAGAGAGCCAGAGACGAGGCAAGGCCCGACAGGAAGGAGACACAAGAGCCGGGTGCTGGGAGCCCCACCAGGGCTGAGAAGGGCAGTGCTTCAGGGACCAACCAGGGTTCACCATCAGCAACTGGGACAACAGAGAGGTTCCCAAGTGCCATTCATCCCTGCCACAGGGATGTCCATTTGCAGAACGCCTCACAGCCCGTTGTATCCACGGTCTCATCCAGCCCAACTAGGAAGCCAGGACTCAGAGAAGGACAAGGTAGGAGTGGCATGAGGATGTCTGGGTCTTGATTTGCCACCACTTGTCAGGGGCCTTACTGTGTGGCTGCAGGCCCCCCACCTCCTCTTGGGGTCTTCAGGCTAGGCCTCAGAGGATGGAGATGGCCACCCTGGGCACAAACTCCCTTCTGGCTGAGCAAAAAGAGGTGGGCTGGTCAGCAGCATGCACAGAGTCCCTCAGCTGTGGAGCTCTTGGACAGGCCTGGGTAGACAGACAGAATCCAGAATGCCAGGGCAGAAGACAACCCTGGGGACAAGGCTGCCGCCCTGGAGAGGGACAGCAAATCCTGGATGTGACCTAATTGGGTACTCAGACACCTCTGGCCATGGTCCATTGATCTTGCTTCCTCTTCATCCACACCTGGCCTCGTGCTGCTCCAACACAATTAAAGCTCATGCTCTTGATAATGAGATGGACAGCTTCTCCATCTTCACAGTTCAGCTGCTGACAGCACCAACACCCTAGGTCCTGGGAGGGCGGAGCTCCCTCCTGGGACCAAATCCAGAGAGGCACCCTAGAGTAGGAGACCAGAGACAGGCAAGCAGTGGGAGTGGTACAGGGCCCTGGGCATGCCTGGCACAACACCAGGTGCCTAGGCCTTGCCCAGGAAAAGGCAGACAGCCTGGGGTAGAGGTTCCTTCAGAGACAGGCCTCCAGGTCAGGGGTCACACTGGGTCCACCTCGTAGCCTCCATCATGGGAAGTGGATGACCCTCTCTCTCAAGGAGCTGCATGCAGGGTGGACACGTGGTGCCCTAGCCTACTCCTGCTTACCAGCTGGACAGGGGCCTGTTTAGAAGAGGCCTCAGTCACAAGGAGAAGGCCTGGCACAGCTCGAAGGCCAAGCAGGTGAGCAGGCTGTGAACACCCAGGTGCGGCAGGCTCTTGCCTGGGTCTGAGTCTCTTCCCGCACTGGGTGGACTCTGCCTGAGTCCAGCTCTGTTTTAATGTTTTTCTTAAGTCCACTGTTGTACAAGGAGAGAAAGGCTCTTGCAAAGAATGTGTCGTCTCCAAGAGGGACAGCCTACGACACTACTCATCAGCACCATCAAGAGCGTCAGTCACGAAGGACAGACCCAGGAACTGTCATGGACTGGAGGAGACCAGAGACGGGACGAGTCAATGTAACAGGAACCCCTGGACTGGGTCCTGGAGCAGGAGACAACCCTAAGTGGGAGAACCAGGGGACCTGGAGCCAGTCTGGAGAGTAGCTAGACCACGGTGGCAACGCTAACCGGCTGGTTTTGATAGCTATACTACAGTACAACACTAAGAAAAAGCTAAGTCCAGGTCCTTTCTGTGCTATTTTGCAGCTTTTCTTTAAATATAAACTTTTTTTTAAAGTTAAATACTATTAAACAAACAAATGAAAACAAAGAGGCTCCCTGGCTTGCTGGGAGGATCTAGCCTGAGGCCAGGCATACACGCCAAGCCAGGTCATCCACCTTGCCCTGCAGGACGATTCTGGGGAGGAGGACGAGGGGAAGGATAAAAGGTGGGCCTCCAATTGCCTGAAAGGGGGCTCCCAGCACAGACAGCTCTGCACACCCCCTCACAGTGCCCGGCGCCAGGCCCAAACCAGGCCTTCTCATCAACCACTCACCCAGAACCCTCACACATCCCCGAGGGGCTTTGCATTTGCATGACGACCTTCAGATCTCTAGAGGTGGGACTTGGGGTTCAGGCATCCCTTAGTGGCCTGCCCTCGAGGACTTACCTTAAAGCAAGGTGGTGGCATGAGGGTATCTGACACAGTAACTCACTGCTGCGACATCAGTCATCCACCCTAGCCTCAGTCTCCCCATCCACACCCCCATGTTTACCCAAAAAGGCCAGTTCTGGAGGGAAGACCACAAAGGGGCTCCTGGACTCAAGTCTCACCCAGTGATTCCAAAATGTTCCAAAACCCCCAGGGGATGTGAGCAGGGGGAGTCCCAACTCCAGTGGAAGTACGCTGTGCAGGGAGAGGAAGGCACCACTCTGCCCTCCTGAGGCTGCTCCCAGGCACGCCCCTGCGCCCACAGGCCTTGCTTTGCCATAACTCCAGAGCAACTGGCCCATGGGGCCCTCAAGGTGTGGGCCATCTGCTACAGTCACATTACTCCCTAGAGGCTAGCTGGCTCCCACCCTCCCTGATCCCAGCAAGCTGCGGTCACAGGACCCACTGGAACCCGGGGGAAGGTTTTTCAAAGGCTAATGACAACAGGTGTTGTGCTCTCTGTGAGTGACCGTGGTCCGCATGACACATGCCACCCACTGCCCTTCTGCCCGGCACTTGGGACTAGCTGTGTGCTGGCCCAGGCTCCTAGGCATTGCCAAGGAAACTGAGGCTGAAAGGCGAAGTCTGTGCTGAGCCCCAGCTCGCTGTTGAGCTGAGAGAGGCAATGGGCTCATACCAGCCCCAGCCACCCGCGAGGGCCTCTGGTCTGCACACAGGCCCAGACCCTCCTATTAATCCTGCATTAACCATTGTTCTAGAACAGTCCAGAGCCCCAGCTCAGAGCCCTAGGCTGGGTCCCTCCACCTCTCAGCTGGGCCCGTCACCCCTGGGAAAGCCCCATTCTGCACACACCCTACAAAACCAGAAAGCACATCCCCTCCCACAGAGAAGGGCCTGGCACATGGGCCGCCAAGGCCTCTGATTTTGAACCCGACCCTGGGGTTACCTCAGTGGCATGAGCCACTTGACTGTCACTGTCCACCCAGAGCAATCAAAAAGGTCACATAGGTCCCAGGTGGCCCTTAGGCCTCTGCTCGGGCTCTGGGAGCAGGACCTGCAGGCTTGGGATGAGGCCTCCCAGTGAAAGGGCAACAGCAGCTCCCACGACCCGCCTCTTCGCCTCTGTTGTCAGGTCCAGGAGGCCCACTGCCCAGGGCCACCCTTCCCTGAGCTCAGCTTCAGCTGCCTGGTATGGCTCCACACCCCAGGGGTCTCCATGTGGGGCCGTGGAACCTGTGGCAACACATGTGCTCCTTCCGGCTCTGCTCCCTGGACTCAGCAGCTGGAGGTGTCTCCCTGCTCCCTCTCCTTCTGAGACCACTCTGCTCAAGGGACAAGCTAAGCCAGTGGTTCCCAAGGGCTGTCCTCGGATAGGTGTGGGGTTTTAGAGCTGCCGGGGGCAGGCCCACACCCCTCCCAGACTTTCTGGGATCCCGCATCCCTATCTTAGCTTCTCCAGGGTAAGAGGCCCTTGCGGTTCCAGCAGAGACAAAACCCCTGCGGATGTCCAGTGTTCTCTGGACATCTCCATCTAGCCAGAGATAAGCCCAGCTATCTCCCACCAGGGCCAGGCTGGGGCAGGCAGCGACCCTCTCTGAGAAGCTGGAGTGGGGGACGGCTTCTGCAGGCAGGAACACATTCAGCAGAGGTCCTGGGACATAGCTCTCCTCCACCAGCCTGGGGAGTAGGGTGCAGCAGAGGCAGGGAGGAATAGCCCTGAAGTGAGGGCCCAAGAAGAAAGGGGAACAAGCCAGGGCCACTTGGGGTGTCTCTGGAAGGAGAGAGAAAGCCCTGCTAACCGTCAGGGAAACAGAGGCGGAGACAGGCCTGGGCCAGTGACTTGGCTTACTAACTCGCCCAGGTCCCTGTTCTACCACCTGCTCTCAGGGGTCTTGAGCTTCAGAAGCTCAGCCCCTGGGAGCTGCAGGCCCCAGAGCCCTTGCAGACAAGGTGGTCCCGGGAGAGGGAGAAGAGCACACTGGGCACAGACCTAGGCCCAGCGGAGCCACAGCCTGCCAAGCTGCATTCTGCACACACTTCAGCATCGAGTAGGCCAGCCAAGAGTCCTTGGTCTTCAAAAACCGAGGGCAAGCAGCAGCTGCCCCACCCCTCGTGGGCCCTGGGCTCCCCTGCCACCTGGGGCAGCATCCTCAGTCATAGGCTATTCTGGACAGGGGGCTAGAGCTCTCAAAATCTGCCACTGGGAGCCCCAGGCAGCAAGGTTCCTTCCACAGTGCTAGTGACCTCCTGGAAGCCTGAGTGGGCAGGCCAGCAAGCAGTGGGTGGTGCATTCACAGTCCCAGGGTAGGGCTGGCTCTCTACCAAGGCCAGGAGGAGGAAGTGGGCTGGGCTGTCTGGACTCTGGCCCCACCTCCCACCCAGGCTACCAGGGACTGCAGTCCCAGCCACCTCTGTGGGCAGGGAACCTGGGGTGAGCCTGGACACCCACACTACCCTCGCAGAGACCCACCTCCACCTGCAGGATGGCTTCCTCTCGCAGCCGGATGGCCTCCAAGTCCTCCTCGGTGACGTCGGGAAGCAGAGCCTGCTCCTGGCCCTGCCACGTGTGCTCACCGCCGTTAAAGATCTTCTCATCATCAGCCAGCTCCACAAAGGGGGACTGGGGACTCTGCTGATGACAGACACAGTCCCTGTTGTCACTCACGGACTCTTGCTTACCCCGTGCCCAGGACCTGGGCTCCTCCCCACAGCCCCTGGCCCCTGTAGGCTGCCTCAGCTCAAGACCAGAAGGGGCTGCAGGCAGCAGGCCTCGGCTCCACGACCCCAGAGCCCCTGGAGTCAGACTCTCTGACGGAGCCAGGGCCAGGACTGAGGGAGTCTCCGCGAGGCCCCACTCCACAGCCACACCACAGCCAGGAGGGCCGCATCCCAGGCCCAGATGCAGGGCTTGGGACAGAGTCCCAAACCCAAGGACACAAAACACTGTGACTTCCCAGCTTCTGGGGCCACCACCATCGTGGCCAGAGAAAATATGCCCTGTGCACACGAACACTAAGTCCACCCTCTTGTCTGGGGCTGTGGAGCCCATGCAGACCCAGTGTCCAGCTGCAGGACAGGGCCACTGAAGACTGAGGCTCAGAGAGGAATTGCCAGGACACCACACAAATAGGGCACAAAAACCAAGGGCAAGCAGCAACCACCCCAGGACCCCAGCTGAGGGACCAGGGGGAGGGCTTCAGGGGTTTTCTCAACTTGCCTTTATTCTCTATTGATTTCTTTAATCCACCAAATTTTGAAATCAAGAAAATGGTGCTTTTCCCTTCAACTAACCACATTTTCTCTGCTGGAACAATCTAGGAACACTTCCGGGCTTTCCGTGGGAGAGGGGTGGGAAGGGCAGTCGCCAGGCCTCCATCTGAGCCTCTGCACTGATCAGGATGAGAAAGAGTTCCCCAGCTACAGAGTCCAGCCCCTCTGTCCCCAAGGACTTGGACTTGGTCTCCCTGAGCTTCTGTGGAGGGCACAAAGTCCTCTCCCACCCTGGGAAAGGTCCCCTTCTGACAAGCCTAGCCAGCATGGTGCTTCTGCCTTTGCTGCAGGGCCCAAGGGCAACAGTGTGGGCAGAGTGTTGGCCAGCTTCTCTGAGACCTGGCCCTGAACAATGGCTGGTCCCTATCCCTGGCCGTTGTCCTGGGACAGGACATAGGGTAGCCAGTGTGGAAATGACTGGGGGTGGGCCTCTGCCTCCTCCTCATTTCCCCTGGGATGGACCCACTCGGAGCATGCACTGTCCTGCCAAAGGCAGCTCTTCAGACACCAACCAGCATAGGACACAGGGACAACACATGGCAGGGCTGCAATCCCAGTCCAGAACTCTTGCTGGGCTCTCCAGGAGTGTCGGCAGCTGGCGAATCCATGCCTGGACCTGCCTCCCCCACTTCCACTGTGACAGGCTCTAGTACCCTCCCCTCTGTCGCCTGCAAAGCCACGCTCACTCACGTTCTGTGACCCTGTAGGATTCTGATATCTGTCTGAAACAAAGACCACCATGCTGAAGGTCAAGGTGGTCACACGCAGGTTCTGGTCAGCTCACACCAGGGGGAGTAGCTATTGGACTCCATGGAAGTTACATGGTGACCTGCACCTCCTGTGTAGCAGTCACTACTGTACCCCTCTGGCCTCTGGCCTCCCCAGCAACACTTCTCTGAGAGCAGTGTCTGAGGTCTAGAAGACACAGTAGGAAGGACTGCTATGGCCACCTGCGGGATGCCCAGTGTGCTGAGCCATGGAGGAGGGCCCCTGTCAGCAGGTGGGGACAGGACCACGGCTCAGGGCTAGAAGACAGGCCCCAGAACCCAGTGTGAAGGGAGTTCCACCCTGCCCTGTGTCTTCTCCTGGCACTCTTCTGGGGGGATGGGGTAGGGCCCAGCGCGCCCTGGGGAGGAGCCCCTGGCAGGTCTCTGACCACTGTGCACTCGTGCAGCTGGACCAGGGCTGGGCATCGGGGTGGCCCCTGCACCAGCGCCTAAGGCCTCTGGAAATGACAGAGCTGCAGGAAGGACAATGGCCACCCCAGGCCTTCGGAAGGCCAAGGCACTCTTTCTCCCACCTCCTCACAACCCACAGGTGAGTGTGGTGACTCTCCTGAAGAGTGGGGTGGGGTGGAGCACCTGGCCTGTCCTCCTTCCCATGCGCCACACCGACACGGGGGAGTCAGCAGAGGCCTTTAAATAAATAAATACGCAGATAGATGAATATAAAATAAAAGATAAAAAAAATCTGTCGACAAGCGCTACTCGTCCAGGGCAATAATTATCGCCTCCCCTTCCCGTGTGGGTGGGAGGAAGTGAGCAGTGCCTGGCAGCGGGTGCGGGAGGGGTGCTGGCCCTGCGCCAGAGCCTGCGCCGCACCTCCTCCTGCGGCCACAGCCCCCTCCAGAGCTTCCAGGGTGCTCTCAGAAAACCCTGGCCCACGACCTGTGTGGCACTGGCACCTACTGTGAGGTCCAGCAAGTCACAGACATTGTCTGGGCCCTGGGGCTCCCATTTGTCCAGTGGGAACAACCACGCTCCCCCACCCCCCCAGCCCACAATCTGTGCTCACCAGGCACTGGCCGTGTGGCCATCCTGCCTGCCGAGCACAAGACTCATGCCCATAGGGATCCACGGACATCGGAGTCTCCTGACTAACAGGAGGCCTCTTGGCTCTGCCAGCCTGGGCAAAGGCCTCACTTCTCTGAGCCCTGGTCTCCACTTCTAGGACACAAAGCCGACAGAACTGCACCCAGAAGCACCTTGAGAGAAAAGACCCATGAGCAAGGGCCGGAGCACAGGAAAGGCCAGGACCAGGAGGTGACACTTCTGACTCTCCATGGGAGACAAGGAAGACCCGTGCCATTCCTGGTGCCGAGTCAGGGACGTTAGCCACTCAGGCCCCTGGAGCAACAGGCCCTAAAGCAGAGCCCAGCTGGGGCCTGGCCCACTCAACACTTCCAAAAGCTCCCAGCACACAGAGGACTCCAGAGGCGCACCCAGCACACCTCCAGCCCTCCACGGCGACCTGGCCCGGAAGGGCTGGAAGGGAACGCCCACTTCCTTGGCAAAGCTCTAGGAAGCAGGCCACATGACCGCCTCAGACACACTGGGTGCCCCGGGCCTCTCGGGATATTTGGTTTTCCAAGTCTGGGTTTCAGGGAAAGCCCCCACAAGCTGAGAACAGAGTGGGGTATGGGCCACCCCCGCAGGCCACCAGGAATGGTGCCTTGGCTGGCTGCCCCACTGCGTGAAGGAGGTGGCGCTAGGAGATGTGGAGGGCTGTGGTGGGGCAGAGCTCGGCGCCAAGCCTCCCAGCACGACACAGGACAGGACACAGGACAGGGAGGGGCTGGGCGGACTGCTCAGCACACCTGCAAGTCTGGCAAAGCTCCTCTATGCTGCCCACAGAGGCCCGATTTGGGTCTGTAGCTCAAAGCCAGCCGAAAATGGATTAGGGGTTTGGGAGCAGGTGCTGGGGGTATAGAGCACACAGGCCACTGCAGTGACTCCAGCTCAGAGACCAACAACGGTGGCCCCACTCGCCTCCAGGCCCGGGGCCAACCCATGCTGGGCAGGAGGAGGTGCTACAAAGTGCCACTGGAAAAGGGACTACACAGTTTCTCACGAAGGAGACCAAGCTCAAGGGGCATTTGTTTGGGGACGATGATGCTTGTAGGGGCCCTGCCTACCCTCCCTTGGGGAAAAGGAGCATGATGGTGCAGACCCAGGGCAGCATCCAGGGCTTAGTTTCTGGGAAATGAGGCTCTTTCTCAATCCTCCAATCCTCCAGTCACAGAGGGAAGGAGACCCTGCACATGCCGCTCCTGTGGGAAGGGCCCCCACAACTGGTCAGCAGTTCCTCCAAATGGAAGTCTCTGGAGGCTATCAAAACTGTAGCAATCCTGCCCCCAATCCCATATTAAACAAAAGGGGGGCCAGGGCAGCAAGACACAGCAACTCTGCCTGGTGCCAGACCTCAGACGGAAGCCAAGGGACTCCTGCAAGCATGGAAACGAAGCGTTTTGACCATCTGGCCTGGGGACCATGTTCGGGCAGACAGCAAGGCCGAGCAGGCCCATGGTCTCAAGAAAGATGACCCTCCACTGTGGCTTGCCCCCCACCCTCAAAAGTCTCAGCTCTGCTCACTGGAACTGACCCAGTTAGAGCCCACATCCGACCAGGCTGAGGTGGCCCACTCCAGCCAGGCTGAGTGGCTCCCCACAGGAAGCTCGCTGCTCAGGTGCCCCAAGTCCACAGCACCAACCTGGCAACACCCCTGCTTGAACAGGGTCACATGTCATCTCACTATTTATGGTTTGCAAAATTCCTGGAAATAATCTAAGCCTCCACAATTTCTCAGAAGTGCTGCTGCCCATTCCTTCCTCATTAACAGAAATTGCCATCAAGCAGTGAATCTGCAGTCCAGGGCACACGTGCCAAGTGTCCAGTCCAGAAACACCTGAGGGAGACACTGCCCAGCCAGGGCTCAGCCGGCACCAAGACATCCTCCTCGTGACGGCTACCCAGGCCCCTGGTGCTTGGTGCCAGCCATTCCTCTGGCCAGACCTTAACTCCACAGCACGTGAGTCTCCTCCTGTGTGAGCCCAGCACAGACCCCTCGTCTCCTCTGGGTACCAGGTTCGGGGTCCTGCAGGGGTGTTGCTATGAGTGTTCTTACACGTGCCTTTCAGGGAACACACATATGCACCTCCTTTGGGTAGAACTACAAGATCACAGGGAGGAAAATGCTGGACTTCACAGACATTCTATGTTCCTGAGCAGGAACAAACAATCCACAGTCACCAGCAGTGCACAGAGCTCCAGCTGCCCCACGGGCCTGCCAACACCAGGCCCTCTCAGGTATGCTTATTACACTCTTGCTTTGGTGGATGAGAGTTTGTGTGTAACAATACACTGTTATGGTTTGCTTTCCATTTTTCTGCTGAGTAGTGTGTTGAGTGTACATTCACATGCTTATCTGTCATTTGGAAATCCTCTTTAGGGGATGTACCTAAGGCTGCCTTTTTCTTGATTTGGAAGAGGTCTTTACATAGCGTGGACATAAGTCCTCTCAGATGTGTTGTGCAAATGCCCTCTCTCTCAATGTCATATTCATCTTAACCAAGTCAAGTCTGCCACTCTCATTCTTGAGTTAGTGCTTCTGCATTGTGGAAGAACATCCTGCCCTCAAAGCGGGGTGAAGGGCCTGCTCCGGATGTCGGAGGAATGCTCCTGCCTGGCTCTTGCATGGGGCTGTGCCCTGCCAGAAACATCTCTGTGCACAGGTGAGCTCAAGTCTGCAAAGGGTCCTTTTCTCTAGATCAAACACCCACGTGTCCATAGGCAGTCCACCTAGGCAGGCCACGAACTCTGACCAGCATGTGTGTGAGGGTCTGTATCCACCTGCACATGCCGCAGGGGCTTCACACCAGGTCCTCATGTCTGCTGGTGGGAATCCTGCGCTGTGTTCTTAGGCAGGACTGGCTCCCTGCTTTGGTCTGCTCTGTTCCCAGGCACACGTCAGGGTCTGTATGACCACATACACAGCATGCGCTCTCAAGCCATGGAGTCTCCCTCTGGATGGGGAGCTGCAGACCGTCTACTAAAAGCCAGCACCTCTGTCCGCCTGGTGTTGCCCTCCCGTCTCAGGCCCTTCCACCATCTCTCTCAGCAACGATGCAGTTTCCACAGTGGCCTCAGGCAGCTCTTCACAGGCTTCTTCCCACCCTCAATGCTACTGAGTTGGTGTTGCTTTCTCTTCTCCTTCGAGATGGTGTCTGCCATGTGCCCGGCCCATCCTGAGCTCCTGGGCTCAATGGTCCTTCCCACCTCAGCCCCTCCACTAGCTGGGGCTATGGGCACTAACTGTGAAGAATGACTGAAGTACCATCACGTTTTCAATGTGATTTCTGTCTTCCCAGATGCTGAGCTAGCATCTCAACTCTCACCAGTTCCAAGTCCCGGCGGGTCCTCGGAAGCAGCCTGCCCCGCTCTGCCTGGTTCTCCCACCTGTCTCTTCATGCCCACCACACTGCACAGGTCCACACAATGCCAATGGAGGGGACAGAACTAGGTGCCCTATCCCCAAGCTCAGGAGACGACGTTTGCCCAGCAGAGTGCAACGAGCTTCGGGTTCTGCAGGCCCCTCTTACAGGTCCAAGTTACCCTGCCAATTCCTGCTCTGCCCGTTTCCCAGCATCCCTGAGTGGGGCTTTTCTGGGTGTGCTGGGACAGCCCTGGCGTTGGCCCATGTGTTCTAGCAGGTGAATCACACCAACTGTTTTTGAATTGACCAGCCTTGTACTCCCAGAGCCGACCCTGCTCTATGAGGACATGTCCCCGACCCACGTGCCCTACCTTCCTCTGCAACTGTGCTTCCAGCTGAGGCCACACTCCTGTCTCCATTCAGAAATGGAGCTGCCACTCAGGAGCGCTCAGCTCTGCTTCTCTGAAAATGCTTCCACTTTGCCTAAAGACCCCATCTGAAGACTCCCAGCAGCTGCAGGGTAAAGGCCAGGACTGTCGGAGCTGCCCTGGATGCAGACGCCTGTAAGTCCTGACGCTCGGGGTTCTGAACAGTCACTGCCTTCCTCTGGCACAGCCGGGCCGGGTCACAGTAACTTGGGCGTTACCCCAGCTCGGATAACACAGTGTGGCTCCAGGAGTAGATAACACCTGCTGGGTTGAGTCCACTCACCTGTTCGTTTGTAGTCCTAGCCCTTTGCCCTTTGGGGGTAGAATATTCCATGGAACAGCCTCCCCCAATAACACCCGGGTTCGAGGAGCACGCTCTCTCTTGCCTGCCTTGCCTCGTGTGGGAGCTGGGTTGGAGGAGCCGACACAGAACCAGAGAAAAAGGTATTTCTCTGTCTCTGTGTGTTTACTTGGTGCAGCCCAGTTCACCTGGGGTGACCCTGACTAGGTTAGTCACGTGTCACAACCCAGCACAGGGGCGCTTCCACCATCTCCTGGCCCTTACCTCTTCTGTGAGCTGTGGTTCCTGTGCCTTCAAACATAGTGTGGCCTTCTCCTCTGGCGTAACGTGTTTTTAAGATTTTCTGTGGTTTCGAAATCTTTTAAGATTGATTTCTGCCTTTGGTTTTCAAATTTTTATTACTATTTAACCAAGGATTTTATTTAAATCAGGGTCAAACTTACTCTACTTACCATAAAGTCTCTTGGATCTGTGCCTGCAGTATTTGGACAGTCTGGGGAAATTTTTAGCCATTACTCTTCAGACATTAGTTCTATCCACTCTTCCCCTCTGCTCATCTAGGCCTCCAACTACTACATTCTTCTGTGGATCTTTTTGGGGACGTTGTGCCACCAAGCTACACCCCCAGCCCTTGTTCTTTATTTTTCATTTTGAGACAGGGCCTCACCAAGTCGCTTAGACTGGGCTTGAACTTGGCATTCTCCTCCTCAGCCTCCCAAGTTGCTGGGCATTGCCGTGGCACTGGACACCTCCCCACCCCTTGCACTTGCTGGGAGCTCAATAAACCTTTTCTTTATAAAGTACTCGGTCTCAAGTATTTTGTTATAGAAAGTAAGAAAGTGTGATGCTACACGCAACAATCAGCAGTCACTTGGGAGCTTCCTAGGGTCGGCACCATGCCATAGCCCAAAGGTCAGAACGCCAGAGCTCTACAAGCTGGACACTGAGGCAGACCCTTGAATGGGCCTGTCCCCAGCTTCCCACCCTCTCCTGGAGCACAGACGGCAATGGAGTCGGTACTGACCCCACAGCCACTGCCTGACCACAGTACCCACGTGGCACCCACCTGTTTGATGCCCCTCTGAGCTGTGGGAAGCAGTGCTCTGGACTTTTCTGCAATTTTCTGTTGGAAAAAGTAAAAGAGGAGAAAGAAATGAAGAACATTAAAGGTGGAAAGAGAAGGGTCAGATAAACCACAGGCCCTGAGAGCAAAGCACACCGGGGGAGCCAGGCCCTGGGCAGGCTCGCAGGACTGGCTGGACAGCCTCAGAGGGCCTCGTTTCCCTGTCTGTCAGAATGGGGTGAGGCCTGCCCTGCCTGTCCCCAAGAGGCTATTGTAAGATACCTTGGGGCAGCACTTCTGGAGGAGGAAGGCCACCCCACGCCACCCAGAGACAGCCAGCCGAGGTACACTCTAGGGCCCACAGCCCCCACTGGCCTGCACCCCGCCCGCAGCACCTCACCTTTTGGACCACTCCGTACCGCTGAATGGCATCTGCTAGCTGGATCTTCAGCCGGTCCAGCTGAAGGCGCTCCTGCTGCAGACAGAGGGCAGGTTACGGGGCGCTGAGGCCTCCTGCCCTGCCGCCCCTGTCATGGTGCTCTCTGCGCCCCTCTCTGCCCAGCAGGGCCACAGCCCAGCTTCTCCATGCATCGTCACACCCCCACCCTGAGGACGTGGCTCATTGCCACTGCCGTCATCAGCCAGAGTCCCAGTGACACCAGCACCATAGGACCCACGGAGCTCGACCAGCACTGTCAGGAGCCCGGAGCTACTGTGGCCCAGTGTGTGGCTTGGCCCCTCAGCAGCCCAAGCACTGTGGTCGCCCCACAGCCCAGGAGATCATGACCTGAGTCCTGACTGGCCCAGTCCAGGCCTCAGGTACTGGAGCCCGGTCCAAGGGACCCATGCCTTGTCCTACTGCTGTTCCCCTCCCCCGCAACACTGCCTCTCAGCCTGCTCCCCTGCTGTTCAGCACCACACCCCGCCACCAAGACATGAACCGCCACTGAGCTGGTGCTCCAGAAGCATTTATCAGGTGAGGGGCTGGACAGGACAGGCCTGGAGTGTCCCTGCTCAGGTTGGCCACGGACCCCACTGACTGATAGGGCCTCCCCTCCCGCCTCCAGCCCTGTGGAACTGGCACCAAGGAAACCACAGCAGCTCTAGTGCCCTGCCCAGCCTGGGTGCTTCAGTGTGGTCCCAGCAGACCTGGCTGTCCACAGCCACCACACACCGCCACCCACTGCCACTAACGCCCATGGCGAGAGGTGCTGGTGTGGCCAGATGAGCTGTGGCCTGTGCTTGAGGGACAGGCTTTCCAACGCTGAGCCTACACGCCCACTCAGCAGTTGGTGGAGCCTGTTTCCGTGACCTGGGAGGGTGGCCTCTGGTCATTGATATCATACGTGAACCCCAAGACAGAGCAAGTAGCCTGGGGGAGCACAGCACTGTCCCCGCTGCTGCCCATGGTGTCTTCTGCTGCTCGAGCATTCCTCCAGAGAGCCGCCTGGCACCCACCCCAGCATGTACCTCTGGGAGGCTGCACTGATGTCCTCCTGTGCCCTACTCACCAGACCAGCTCAGGAAGGAGAAAGGGGACCTGGGCATGCTTCTTAGAGCTACCAGGCCACGGAGCCCCCAAATCAAGGGGCTCCACACCCACCTTGCGAGGGAGCAATGAGCACCACACAGAAGGCAGCCAGGTTGCCAGGGTCCCTCCCTCGGCAGTGGAGGTGGCTACGGTGACCCAAACCATCTCATTCCCTAAAGCTTGGGCCAGGTGAGGGAGGCACCGAGAGCCACATGGCGGGTGCTTCCCCACAGACTCTTGTTAGAGCTAGGAGAAGCCCAGTCCTCAACCCCTGCCCACATGGGCAGCCGAACCCTCAGGCCCGTCTGCTGCAACCTCGACCTCCCTCCACCCAGCATCCCCCGCACACTGGGCAGCTGCTCCCCATGCCTCCCAACACCAGGGGCCAACAGCAGTGCCCCCTCCTTCAGGCCACGGCATGTGGTGAGTCCTCCTCCTGTGAGGCCCTGTCGTGTCCTGCACTTGCCCAGGGCCAGTGGACACTGCGTGGTCCAGAGTCCTCCCACGGCACTGTGGGAGCCACCAAGGAAGGCTCCCAGCCCATATGTGCCTCCTCGCCGCAATTTCACAAGCAAGTCTGTGGGGTCTCAGGTGGAGTAGGACAGACGGACACCCAGTGGGCTGTCATTTAGAACACTGCCACACCGGGGTCCACCAACAGCACAGAGGACTCAGACCACCGTGCCTGGCGCAGCTCACCCCTGCTCTCGCCATCACCCCCATCAGTGCGCCTACCACTGGCCACAGTCTCCGCACCATGCTGGTACCCCAGGAGCTCAGGTGACCTGAAGCACACACGGGAGGGCGTGCACGAGTCACCTCCACATGATACACCACTCTATGCAAGGGACTTGGCTGAACACGGACTTTGGTATCCAGGGGTGACACTGACCCTGGGGTCGTCAGTCTCCATTCAGGAAGGCCCAGCCAAGACTCGGACACCCTCACCACAACCACAAAGCAGGTGCCAGGAGAGCAGTCGCAGCAGCCACCCCTGGCCCCTGCTGCTCAAAGGGCCCACACACCCAGTTCTGGCCCCTGAGCCACATGTGGCCGAACCCAGGGCAGCCTGAGTATCCATCTGTGCACACGGATCCTCGGATCCTCGTACCCCTCCAGGGCCACATCACCCCGCCACAGACTCCGGCTGCCCTCCCCTCCCTCAGGGGCCTCCCTGGTCTGGCCCAGCCCTCAGGGAAACATACCAGACAGGAGCCCCGCAGGAGCTCTGACGTCTGCTTCAAGGCACCCGCACTGGCCGACACGGCTCTGTTGGTCTCCTGCTGCATCGTGTGCCTGGGGCAGGGAAGGGGCGGGGAGAGAAGGGGACACAGCAGGCAGAAGGGAGAGCAAGGCACAGCAGAGGGACAGGCAGAGCCCAGCGAGCAAATGGAGAGGAGCAGAGAGAAGGGAGAGAAGCAGCAGGCAGGGCCGGAGGGGCAGGACAGGCAGAGGGCGGGAGGGGCAGGGACAGCAGGCAGAGGGGTGGGGGGCATCAAGGTGAGCTGCGTGGGAGGCAGAGGCCACCTCCAGGACCACCCCAAACATAGTCGTGCGGCTCAGAGCCGTCCAGCCCGCCACGGGCAGCCTGGGCACCAGTGAGGAGGCCCGGCCAACCTCCCTGCAAAGGGGTCTCAATGCTGAGCAGAGTGTGGCTCTGGGGCCCAGGGTGAGCCTGTTGCCACCCCCAGAGCAGTGGCATGAGAGGGCCTAGGCAACCCTGGCCACAGTCCAGCTGCAGCTTTGAATGTGGCCCCAGCAGCAAATGAGACCAGGGCTCTTTGCAGGCGCTGACCCTCCCCAGTGGAGTGACACCTGGGTATACATATCCAAGTCACACCCAAGAGAGGTGGGACCCTGGCCTGGCAGAACCCAGAGAGCCCTCCTGACCCTGCGCAGGGCAGCCCAAGGCGAGGCAGAACTGCACTCCCAGGACCCGCAGTGGTCAGGGCAGTGCAGGTCTCAGGTTCTCAAAGGCCACCCACTGGTGCTGGCACCTGACCAGGTGACACCCAGCAGGCAGTGCACTGTCCGCACCACAGGTCACGGCCACCTGTTGAGGGGTTCACTGCCCCAGCCATGCCTCCCCTCCTCGGCCCTTCAGTGGCAGGGCGAGGCAGTCTGTGCAGGAGAGAGCTGGGGCGGGCTGAGGAGGAGCCAGGAAAGGCTGGTGACAGCAGCAGGGACAGGGGCCTTCCGGCCCCAATGACTCAATGGCATGGCTGCTACCCAGCTAGGTCTTGCCTCCTGGTCCTCCTCCTTCCAGGGGCTGTCCACTCACTGTGCCGACGGCCACGTGACAGAGCCCGACACTCCACCCTGGAGCACCACCTCACTGCCACCCCCACAAGGACCTCTGCAGCCAGCTTGCCAGTCCCACAGCCCGAGACCCACCTGAGCGCCCTCCCCCATGGTCCTGCCCCCACCTGGACCTGATCTCCAGAGTGTCCTCCCTAATGACCCTCGGTCCATCCGCCTGGGCATCCCACTGCTCTCACATTCGCCTGCCCAGGATCTCCCGACTTCCCCATCTCCGCCCCGTACCCCAGCCTTCCTGTCTCTTCAGCAAAACTCTCGGCTCCCCTGTCCCCATCCTCCATTTCCCAGTCTGGCATGCGGGGGCAACTGCACAGCCAAGACCCACTCGGCAGCCAGAGACACACTGCCCCTGCTCCTCCGCGCCCCAGGGCTCCTGCAGGCCTCTTGCCCCTCACGGCCACAGCGTCCCAGACACAGTCCCTGAAGCAGAGGTGCTAAAAGCAGGTCATGTCCCAGCCCTCACACTGGCCAGCCATTCCTCGTGTCACTCTCACAAAGCCAAAGTCCCTGCACAGTGCTCCAGCCTCCCCCGGCCCTATCCCTGCCCTTCACGGGCCCTCCCGCCCCACCCCTGCTGATGCCCATCCGGACAACCCCACATTGGTGCTTTGCTCCCCGTGACCCTGCAGCCCCTAGACAGCTGGGGCAACGACCCCGGCTGTGAACTGGCACTGTGGCTACGGGGCAGTGGGCAAGACACTCGGCACAGCCCAGGGCTGGCTCCCCAGCAGGCCAGGCTGTGACTACCCACACATGCCTCTGGCCGGCACTGATGCTCCTCTCCTCAGACTCCATCCCAAAAATGGTGGCCGCCACAACTTCATGGAGTCATCAGCACTAGAGCAAGGGCAGTTGGTTCTGGGCCGGGTCCTGTAGGTCCTCTTCCTCGGGCATCTCCTCTCTGTCCCCTCACAAGTATCCCTTACCCAACCCGGCCACCCAAGGCCGTAGGCACAGCAGGTGCTCAGCCAGCAAACCTACGCAGCAGCAGTGAAGCGGCCGGAGGGGGCGCCCCGCAGAGGGAAGGCAGCCGACTGCAGGCCCCCGAGACCAGCCAGCTTCTGGGGACAGAGACTGACTGCAGTTACAGTGCCAGCCACCCTGCCCCCGCGGACTCAGAGAGCAGTCAGAGGAGGCGCAGAGCTATGGGTGCAGCAGAGCAGGGCTCCTCCCAGGCGCTCAGAGCTCGGGCATCAGGAACGAGGAGAAGCTCCAGCTCCGGAGCCCTGGGGAGCCAGCCACCTACCTACACACAGAGAGGAGGGGTGCGACCACATGGTCAAGGGCAGACCCAGGTAGACACGGCCAATGGGGCCAAAGAGCTCTCTCTGAAGGTCAAGACTGCACAACTGTAGCTGGAAATGACAGGAACAGTCACAAACGAGCCATAAGGAGAATGAAAAGGGACGTGACCGCAGACCCAACGTGAAGGGACAAGCCGTGGAGACAAGAAGGACCAACACCACTCAACAGACAGGCCTGAGGACGCCGGCGGTGGCAAGACTGAAACTGCAACTGAAACACCACCAGACAGACCCAGGTGAGCCGGCTCCACCACCAGGGAACAAGCGACCCGGGGGCAGACTGCAGGAGCAGCCCCCACCACGCCAAAGCCGAGCACAGACCCAGAGAAGAGAGACAGCAGGCGCCCCACAGAGGCCAGGACAGACCTCGGACAGACAGTAAGAAAGGAGGCGGGAACTGCCGAGGGGGCGCTGACCCAGGGTTCAGAGGTGGCCTGACACTTCAAAGTCAGGTATGAGCCGGGCACAAGGCCACACAAGTGATTCCAGCAGCTCAGGAGGCCGAGACAGGTGGCACACAGGTTGGAGGCCAGCCGCAGCTACTTAGTGAGACCTGTCTCCAAATAAAAAGGACTGGGGATGTAGCTCAGTGGAAAACTGCCCTGGGGGTCAATCCTCAGAACAAAAGGAAAGGCCACCCACAGACGGCTCACTAAGTTAGGAGCCAGCCTTGATGCAATCCGACACTCAGGACTGAGAGTCTAAGGAAACTAGAGCAAGAGATCCCACATTGCTCTCTCAGAAGGCGAGGGTATCCATGTCCCTGCACACAGGAAATCCCGAGGGTCCGGGAAAAGCTCCTGGAACCAATAATGAACCTGAGGCCCCACAGGACACCAGCAATGCACAAAAACCAGCTGTGGCCAAGAGTGGACAGTGGAATGTGGACAATGCCACCAAAAGCAGTGTTCAGCCTCAAGGTCCCTGAGCCACTTCCAACAGAACAATGATAAACACAAGACCCACCCCTGGAAAGCCTGAGGCACTGCCGAGAGAATCAACAGAAAGGCGCACTCCGGGCACACAGGGCGCCTTTAAGAGGGCCATTCTCACAGAGGTCTGCAGACGCCACGCAACCGAGATGAAACTACAGCAGGATTTTAAAACAAAAATCGACAAGGTGATTCTGAGATGTCCACTGACACACCAAGGACCTGAGGGTCCACAGCACTGCACAGTGGAGCAAGCTGGAGGGCACCAGCCTGCCTGGCCTGAGCAGGATTGCAGCCTGGGGACCCAGCACTGGCCGGGGCCACAGCACAGCACCATAGAGCAATCCAGGAATGTGGGCACACGGTGTTCAGAAAGGCACCCACGCAGCCCATGGGCAAAGATGGCTGTCTCGACAAATGGTGCTAAAAGTGTTTTTAAAAAGTGACCCTCAACCCTTTCTGAGGGCACATGCAGGAGTGAACTCCAAATGCACCACAAGTCTAGCTATGGGCGTGAGCACGGTGGACTCCCTGCAGGTGTCCGCAGGCTCTGCGTGGCTCCCCACAGCGGGCGCTGTGCTTGACTGGCAGCTCTGCAGTCCCAGGCCGTGCAGCACAGGCTCTCATGGGGCCACAACTGGGCCGCCGAGTCGCACCATGGTGGGGTGGCAGGTGCCCCCCAGTGCGCGATCTCTGCTCACAAAGCTGCCAGGATCCAGTCGCAGCTCCACCCCAGGGACCTGGCCCCATCGCCTCTCAAGGGCCTGTCTCTGACACACAGTCAGCAGAGTGCCCACCTTTGAGGGCCGTGAACAAGACCCTGGGTCCAACTGCCACCTCAGGGGACACACCACATTCAGGACATAGCTACGGTGAAGCATTCCTGATCTGCCTAATGCTGAAAGTTCCTGCTCTTCTTAAGAGACTCTTAAAATGAAGAGGCTGCCACGATGCAAGGAAAAGACTCTGCACACTGGCACCGACCAGGGCTGCACAGAGGGCGGCACGGACGCTCGGGTCCAATGCTCGGGACACACAGCCCCAGGAATCAGAGGGACCATGTGAAGAGACGCCCCGTGGGAAGACAGAGAAGGGACTGTGCAGGGAAGATGCCCCACAGCCCTCCTCAAAGAGATGCACACTGAGGCCGCAGTCCAGTGGCACTTACAGCCCCACGGCCTAGGCCCCAGGCTGCACTGGTCTGCCAGGCAGGAGGGAAGGTGGCAGGGCCCTGGGGAGCTCCTTGGCGCCTCGCCAGCTGGGGCATGCTCCACTCCCAGCATCTTGCCCAGGAGGACCAGGCACACAGACCTGGAGACGCGCGCTGGCTGGAGAGGCACCGCGGGCCCTGCGGGCGAGACAAGCAGAGTCTGAGTCAGCCACACCAGAGCACCACTCAGCAATGAGTCGGCTCTTAGCACCCGTGGCCACGTGACACAACCTCAGACACCCCACACAGGAGACGACCCAGGCCCAGGAGGCCACGGACTTCATGGTTCCACATGCACTGAGCTCAGAAGAGGCAAAGCTACTCACAGCATGGAAATCAGGCCAGTGGTCACAGGTAGGAAGGAGCCCACAGCCTCCTCCAAGTGAGGCAAGCACCCTGTACCTGCCTGGTGGAGATGCACACAGACAACACACCCAGGGCTGGCACACCGTGGCACCTGGGAGGCCCACAGAAGACGAGGGGCAAGGGGGCCTCATGGATCCCTGCCTGCCACTGGCCCCAGACCCAGGA